GTGACGTTCTTGACGAGCAGCGACGGGTGCTCGACGTTACCGTTACCGTACTTGTCGGGACGGCCTGCCACGTCCAGTTGCTCCTGGTCCCGGTACCTGAAGTGGGTCAGAAGTGAGTTAGAGGTGGGTTAGAGGAGGGTTAGAAGTGGGTCAGAGGTGGGTTAGAGGTGGGTTAGAGGTGGGTTAGAGGTGGGTTAGAAGTGGGTTAGAGGTGGGTTAGAGATGGGTTAGAGGTGGGTCAGAGGTGGGTTATAGGTGGGTCAGAGGTGGGTCAGAGGTGGGTTAGAGGTGGGTCAGAGGTGGGTTAGAGGTGGGTCAGAGGTGGGTCAGAGGTGGGTTAGAGGTGGGTCAGAAGTGGGTTATAGGTGGGTCAGAGGTGGGTCAGAGGTGGGTCAGAGGTGTCAGAGGTGGGTTAGAGGTGGGTTAGAGGTGGGTTAGAGGTGGGTTAGAGGTGGGTTAGAGGTGGGTTAGAGGTGGGTTAGAGGTGGGTTAGAGGAGGGTTAGAGGTGGGTCAAAGGTGGGTTAGGGGTGGGTTGGAGGTGGGTTAGAGGTGGGTCGGTGTGGGTTAGAGGTGGGCAGTGTGAGTCAGAAATGGGTCGGCGTGGTGGTAACCGGTAAACCAAAGGTGAGTTATTGGTGGGTAAACAGAAATTCGAAGTGGGGCAGTGGTGGGTTAGAGGTGGCTTGAAGTGGGTCAGACGAGGGACAGAAGTGGGTCGAAGGTGGGACAGTGTTGGGTCAGTAATAACCGGGCATTACGAAAATGCTTTATTTATTATTTGCCGATGTCACGAGTAAACCGCTATACTCATAATTTCGAACAATAGCATAATTTAAAAATTAAAGTATATCCCTCTATAAAATATATATTTAATATGTCAACATCATTTAAAAACGAAAAAATCATACAACCATTTATTAACTACCACATGTTCTCGCCATGTGCACTAATCTCATCAAAACAATTCGTTATTTATCTTTCGACTAAATCGTCCCACAAATCCAGTAGTTGATACCAAAAATAACAGTAGTTACAATAAAAAAACTACATATTCATCTGAATGGAATAATCATCAGGAATTCGCGTTATATAAAGTACATAAAAATAGTAATTACACAATAGTTCACTCGCAGAAAATGAAACGAGATAATAAGGTCTAAGAATATGATGCAGAAAATAAGTGAAGTATGTAGCAGAGCGAATATGTCAGTTACCTATCAGGTATTTGTCGTTGATTTGACGTTGATTAAAGGTTGTTCCAACTAAATAAATTCTTAATCAACTTTCTTTCAACGCAATTCACTCTTAATCAACGTTGCTTCAACGAAATCAATTTTTTATCAACGTTCTTTCAACGAAATAAATTCTTAGTCAACATTAATTAGAAGAAATCAACTCTTAATTAACGTTGTTCCAGAGGAATAAACGTTTTTTCAACGAAAACAACTCCTAATCAACATTATCTCCGCAAATTCACCCACAATCAACGTATTTTCAACGAAAACCATTCTCAATCAACGTTTTTTCAACAAAATCACCCTCAATCAACGTATTTTTCAACAAAAACCATTCTTAATCAACGTTTATTCAACAAAATCACCCTCAATCAACGTATTTTCAACGAAAACAATTCCTAATCATCAATAAATCAATGAAATCACACTCAATCAACGTATGTTCGACGAAAACAACTCTTCATCAACGTTATATCAACAAAATCACGCTCAATCAACAATTTTCAACGAAATCAACTCCTAATCAACGTTATATCATTGAAATCACACTCAATCAACGTTTTTTTCAACGAAAACAACTCCTAATCAACGTTTTTTCAACAAAATCACCCTCAATCAACGTATTTTCAACATCACTCGACCCACCAGAGAGCATAGATGAGCTGCTGAGGGTTGGCGTCGTACTCGCAGCTGATGAGGACGTCCATAGACGCGTTCACGGTCACGTTGGCGGGGCTAACGCGGACTGACGGGGCGTCTGTCGGGGTTTAGTAACGCGTTATAGTTTAAATTAAATAAAGGTAATACTTTATTGAAAACAATTTGTTTGTCGTCTATGAAAAAGGCTTGAGATAACGCCTTGTACATATTTATTAGTAACGTCTTATGGTTTAAATTAGTAAAGGGAATGTTTGATTGAAAACAATTTACTTGTCATCTATAAAAAAGGCTTGAGATAGAGCCTTGTACATATTTATTAGTAACGTCATATAGTTTCACTTAAATAAAAGTAACATTTTATTGAAAACAATTTACTTGTCGTCTATAAAAAAGGCTTGAGATAGAGCCTTGTACATATTTATTAGTAACGTCTTATAGTTCCACTTAAACAAAGGTAACATTTTATTAAGAATCCTTTCTTCGTCGTCTGTAAAAGAGGCTTGAGATAGAGCCTTGTACATATTTATTAGTAACGTCATATAGTTCCACTTAAACATAGGTAACATTTTATTGAGAATCCTTTCTTTTTCGTCTATAAAAGAGCATAGTAGAGAGGACATATTCCACAAGCTTTGTCTAGTGAAACAGAAGCTCTCGAGCAATAATTATGGTCATGGAACAAGCAGTTTTCCATAACTAGCAAGACAGAGCACAGTACACACAAACAAACGAAACAGCACACAATAAATACAACTAACAACACAACACACAACTATCAACACAATAGGCAACTAACTATACAACACACAACTAATTACACAACACACAACTAACTACACAGCACACAACTAACAACAGAACACACAACTAACTACACAACACACAACTAACTACACAGCACACAACTAACTACACAGCACCCAACTAACTACACAGCACACAACTACCTACACAACACACAACTAACACACAACACACAACTAACTACACAACACACAAAAAAGCAACACATAACTAACATACAACACACAACTAACTACACAACACACAACTAACTACACAACACACAACTACCTACACAACAAAACTACCTACACAACACACAAATGCCTACACAACACACAACTACCTACACAACACACAACTAACACACAAATAATTACACAATACACAATTACCTTTACAACAGACAAACCACACAACACACAACAGCAGCAACACACATTGTATATCAAGAGTCTCGGCGCTGGCGAGCGGAGGTTGGTTCCTGTTCTCGAGGACGGAGTTGGAGGCGCGGCAGGAGAAGCGTCTGCTGTTGTCGTAGCGCCGCCCTACGAACTCTATACGCGACCACGTGCTGAATGTGCCGTCAGGCTGGGGGTGTTTCATTGAGTAATTGATTAAAAGAGTAATTAATCAATCAATATGAAAAATGTAATGAATCAATAAAAAAAGTAACTAAAAAGTAATTAATCAATCAAGCAGTTATTCAGAGAAGTTATGATTAATTAAACAATCAATTAAAAATTAATTAATCAATAATAAATTATTCAATCAATTATAAATTAATGAAACAATTAAAAAATAATTGTTCAATTAAAAATTAATTAATCAATTAAAAATTGATTAATAAGTTGAAAATTAATTTATCAATTAAAGATTAATCATCCAATTAAAAATTAATTGATCAATTAAGCAATTCATAAAAAAAGAATAATTTAGGCAAATGATCAAATTGATCAATAAATTAAACATTAAATTAGAAAATTATCAGTCAATCAAGTAGGAAATTCATTAAAAATCAATTGTTTAATTAACATTGTTAACATAACATTAACATTAATTAATGATGTTAATTAACATTAACATCAAATTAGCGAGCAATTTATTAAATTAGCAACAATTAAAAAGTAATTGCTTTAAAAAACAGGACAGAAACAGGACAAACATCAGCCCGATGAGTGAACAATACACTAACAAGTCCAGCTGATGGCTGTATCGAGCAATTAAACATGAAATTAACCACATCATTTACTAATCAAAATTGCCATTAATTACCATAGAAATGTATGGGGAAAAACCCACAGGCTAAACTAGGATAGAGTAAACTTCAGGCATATGAATAATATGCGAACACGTTAGGCTGTGTTTAGTTAAGTATTTAAGTAATTAACTAATTACAATCAATTAACACATAGGGTGAACTTAGATAAACTTTTACCCTATATATAAATGAATAATACGCCGTTTATGTTGAGCTGCTAAGGTAATAATTAAATAGATGATGAATGCGGAAAGGATGTAATTTGTTTTGGTGAAGGCAATGAGGCATGAATGATAGCATGTATCCACATATTCATACGAAGCATCAAATGTTATGGGGCAGTTGGATTATGTTAAAATTATCAACTATGACTAAGCAACGAAATGACGGAACAAATTGTCACTAAGTCTTTAAGTCATCAGACTTAATGTCGTCTATGAAAATAAGTTATTTATATAAAAGTTTTGTGAGTAATTGCTACAATTCACTGGCACTTTAAATACACGAATAAGTTGACCATCCACCTTGAAAATGCATGTTCAACAGCTGGATTAATAATCCTTCCATGAAAAGCAGTGCGAATTTGGGCTAATGTTTGAAAGCTGAAACTCTTTAAACGTCACGACAACGAATGGAAATGAGAGGGGCAACGAATTACGTAAAGAATGGGACAATCCGTCCACACAAATCCTATATATGTCGATGGAATGGGCCCATATAGAGATTTCAGAGTGAAATATGCCCATAACGGGCAGAATCTACTGATTATCTTAAAGTCACAGACAAATTAAGTTCTGTACAGGTATTAAAGATAAATATTGAGCTATTTTAACAGGAAAATATATTTCTAAAATTTAGGCTATGCTAAACGAAAACATGATGTGGATGACGCGAGTATCCAAACAAACGTATAGGTAAGAGTAACTCGTATAAAGGATCAGCAAGGTTCCGTATTAAGTCAAAAGTAACTTGCAGTAAATACGGCCGAGCCTCAATGGAAACGTCCAAAGTCAAACCTCCAAGTATTCGGCAAGAATGACTCTTCACAGTACAGGCAAAAATGACTAACGAAACTACAAGAATACAAGAGAAACTTCAAGAAACTACAAGAATAAGTCTCCTTGTAAAAGTCAACGGCGAATCAGGTCCTAAAGCGAGCCTCTTACAGGCTCTAAAAGTTCTCGCGTAAAGAGCGTGAGGTCTCCGAGGAAGGCTGTACATCACTGTCCTCAGATTGCTTATCACATTTATATATTGCTCATTTTGCGTCGAGCTTCAATTTCGGATCTGATGGAGCACTTGCCTACACTTCATTGCTTGGCAGGGCCAGTCGCCCGCTCTATCAGATGCTGGGATAGAGCTCCCCGTCATGGCGCCGAGGAAGGAAATGAGGAGTAATCGTATGGAGCCCAGCAAGAATTAAGGCGTTAATATTGAGTATGTTTAAGGTCTTTATGCACCCGCAGTACAAATAAATTACCCAGTAAAGTTTGTGACATGGCTAGTTTTTCAATAGTCATTCAAAACTAGTCAGGTCGGAATCAATGGAAAGTGAAATGATTCGGTATTCGTTTATCTCCTTTCTCTTCTTGTAAAATTGCGCGACACAATCACGCACATCAGTACAAATAAAAATACAAATTTGGAGACTTTACTAACTATAGATCTACACGGGTATTCATCAAACAAATATCAAAGTATTACATACTTTTTGTCCCAAACAAATATGATGTTCTCCACAAAATACAAGTTCACAAGAGCTTACGTTAATGGTTTGCCCTAGTCTTTAAATTCGGATGTTATCATGCAGGCGGCTAAAGTTAAGCCTATTTTATTTGTTAAAGGGAAATAAACAATTAGTCTACTCTACATTGGAGATCTGATGATTAATTTACTCACAACTACCCAGGAGCATATTGGGTACAAGGGATCAAGGAACATTTATTCTGAGGAACAATTGAAACGAATACGCAACATTTCAAAACTAACTCAAGCTGGAGCGCCTTCCAGGAGAAATAATTCTCCAATCGGCCTCTAATAAATACGAGAATTACTTCCCGAGTTCTTGATAACGATGGTTCAGATGGTCCGCTCCGTGACCATGGTTCTGATGGTCCACTTAGTGACGATGGTTCTGATGGTCCACTTTTTGGCAATGGTTCTGATGATCCGCTTTGTGGCGATGGTTCTGATGGTCCACTTTGTGGCAATGGTTCTGATAATCCGCTTTGTGGCGATGGTTCTGATGGTCCACTTTGTGGCAATGGTTCTGATGGTCCGCTCCGTAACGATGGTTCTGATGGTCCGCACCGTGACGATGGTTCTGATTGCCCGCTTTGTGACGATGGTTCAGATGGTCCACTTTTCGGCGATGGTTCTGATTGTCCACTTTGTGGCGACGGTTCTTATGGTCCGCTTTGTGACGATGGTTCAGATGGTCCGCTCTGTGACGATGGTTCTGATGGTCCGCACCGTGACGTTGATTCTGATGGTCCGCAACGTGACGATGGTTCTGATGGTCCGCACCGTGACGATGGTTCTGATGGTCCGCACCGTGACGATGGTTCTGATGGTCCGCACCGTGGCGATGATTCTGATGATCCGCTCCGTGACGATGGTTCTGATGATCCGCTTTGTGGCGATGGTTCAGATGGTCCGCACCGTGACGATGATTCTGATGATCCGCTCCGTGACGATGGTTCTGATGGTCCGCTCCGTGACGATGGTTCTGATGGTCCGCTCCGTGACGATGGTTCTGATGGTCCGCACCGTGACGATGATTCTGATGGTCCGCACCGTGACGATGGTTCTGATGGTCCACTTTGTGACGATGGTTCTGAGACCGTCACTCGTCTTGACGGACAGCACCAGGCCCATGGGCTAATGCAGTCTAGTTGTCATTTGGTCTCTGATGAGAACCTTGTCGCCGCACTTCAAGCGTCGTCTTGGAGTCTGCCATTTATTTATTCTTTGGAGCTCACTCAAATAGACCCGGTGAAACTTGATCCGAGAGATGCTTCACTCTACGCCACTGTCTTGGACCGATCGGGATGGTGATTGCGATCAACAAAATTTGCACACATTCTTCCGGCCACGCCGCCATGTCATCCGGCCACGCAGCCCCTAAGTCATCCGCCCATGCACGCCGCTAAGTCATCAGGCCACACAGCTAAAGTGGACACTTAATTCGCCTTCATAATGTCGATGATACCCGATGATTGATGTTGAACTAAACGACTTCAACACACCGTCAAAACACCAGTAATTTTCTTATTAGTAAGTCTGCCTCTATAAATAAGTTCCTGAAAGTAGCATACTCATACCGTCTATAAAATTCCAATAGAGCGCGATACCATAACATATGAATTCGGTCAAAAACAAACCGAGATCGGAAAACAGACACTAGTTCTATTTATCTCTGATAATACGGATGCTGCAAGTAATATCTTGCAGCGGCTCATCCGGCTCAGAGTTGGGGCTATAAAGTCACCTGCTAGAGTGTGTTGGGGCAACTTAATATTTGTCGCCAGCTTAGAGTGACGGACGAGCTAGCGAGCCTACAAATTTGCAGCGCAATGGAAGATCTGCAAGCCGTGAAGCGTGAGATGAGAGTGGTGGTGTGATGAAGCGTGAGATGAGAGTGGTGATGTGATGAAGCGTAAGATGATTGAAGCGTGAGATGAGAGTGGTGGTGTGGTGAAGCGTGAGATGAGAGTGGTGGTGTGATGAAGCGTGAGATAAGAGTGGTGATGTGATGAAGCGTGAGATGAGTGTGGTGGTGTAATGAAGCATGAAATTTAATGAATTTTTTTAATGAAATTTTAAAATTTTTTAATGAAATTTTAAATAAAGGGTAATATGTCAAGAATATGGAGGAGACATCAATCGGAATGTAATCAAGTAACATAAAGAGCTCATAAACATAATGATTACTTATATGGCCCGCTTTAAAATGCTGATATTTCTAACTTAAGATTAATTGCATTGAAAAGAGCAATAACGGCAATGCGATAACACACTGAACAACAGCACAATACTCCCATTCTACAATCGACTAAACGAAGGTATCGCTAATTTATAGATGTATATCTTCGCATTAAGATATCAACTAATGGATTGTGAACTAAAAGTTCTAAAAAAAATTCAAGCCCTAAGTGAAAGATAAGTAAATTAGTTCACAAATTAGAAAAATAATAAATTTAAATACCATCACTAACAACTAACAAGAGATAATGAAACTCACCTCTTCGACCTTCCCGAATTGTTCCTGCACAGAAAATGTCTTTATTAATGTAAGCATAAGTTACGGTATTACTTATATAAAACTGCAAGTTGATCCTTTTACAATAAACAATGGAGAAAAGCAAGTATATACTTAGGAAAAAACTAGTTAATTTGAAATAATTTATTGAATGCGATTGCACAATTTTTATTGAGAAATTGAAATTGAAGAAAGAGAGGCCAACATACCTGGATGTTGTCGAGGGTGGAGGCCTGGAGGACAGGCATGGCGGCCAACATACCTGGATGTGGTCGAGGGTGGAGGCCTGGAGGACAGGCATGGCGGCCAACATACCTGGATGTTATCGAGGGTGGAGGCCTGGAGGACAGGCATGGAGTCGTTGTACCAGGTGATGGTCGCCGCAGGTTTAGCGCCGCGCACGTCACATTTTAAGGTAATTAATGACCCCTCCATGGAGGGGGGCGGCCGCAGCTGCAGCACCTCCACGCTCCGGGGCGCCACTGGACCAACAAGAAATAAATCAAATTATTAATATTTACAATATGTACTACAAGTAATATATACCGAAATATATGTATATCTAATATATATTTATAATATATGTAAATATATAATAATGTATGTAATATATATTTACGACATATATTACGAATAAAATATAAAGTGCATACCGTATATATTAAACAAATAATCCATAGTAATATATATTTACAATACCTATTACAAGTAATAATTAATTTACATATGTATTAAATGTAATAATCCATTTCGAAGTAATTGCCAAATTTATCGAAGTGTACTCCAAAGTTGTTGAAATAGAAGTTTTTTCAGTATTATTGCATTAACTAATTATAGGATTTATCAAGTCATTCACAGAAATAAATCTAGCAGATAATTTTAGACACTTCTTCTATTTATTGAGATAACTACATTTTGAGGTTAATTTAAAACTCAAGAAACAACACCGACCGTTCAATTTATTTCTACGCTGAAATTTAAACAAAAACTATCAGATCAAATAAATATATTCGTTCTTCACTTCTAAGATCAACGTAGTCTTTTGTTTGTAATTTAAATGCTGGTTTTCTGAGATCGAAAGACCGATAGCCTCAGATCAGATAACAGCAAACGCTTAATGTGAAGCATGAATCTTATCTTCAAATTGCGATTTCGTGTTATTTGTGGCTTTCTGAAGATGTGAACTAATTCGGATGCTAATTTTGGCTCATTGGAACAATTGGTATGTTTTGAAACCTAGTTGATTTTTTTTTGCTTCTAATTACTCCAAGAAAAATCTTCAAGCAGACGATCAACATTTGACTCTGAAATTCAGTGAACGTAAATCTGCTTTAACCCTCTACCGTCTGACATGAGTAACCGGAGCAATATTGTCCCAAGCCTACTTCCCAAAAAGGATACGTTCTAGTGAGCGCAAAATGACTTGCACTTATGGTTGCCGCCACGTACGACAACTTTAAAATGTTCTCTGTTGCATACACACGTCCTCAGCTTGTTACACTCAATAGTTTACGTATAATTCAAGTTGAAAGTTATGTTTCCGAATAGTAACATACGACGGTAGAGGGTTAAGACTACAATCTGAATCATGCTAGTCCCAAATCCAAAATTTGCACACGTACGTATCATCAACGCGAACGCATCTGTCTTGAACTTTGCACCTACACTCATAAAATTAATTGGTTATATTTTACAAACTATGAAACACTTCCTGCAAGTAGCACTGATGCGCCATTCCATTTTGCCAGGCGAAACTGGTCAGATCGACCCTCATGGGAACGAGAGTGAATCACTCGTGATTTTGACAATGAGAGATACATTTCTCTGAGTGTATGGGCGATATGGCCGGCCATCAACAGACTGCCAACGTCGACCCTGGCGTTAGTGGTTAACATCATCCACCGACGTCTAACCGACCGTTGAAAACAGCCATATTAAAGCAAATATATTAAAGAGATCTATGTAAAAAACATCCACCGCCCGTAAAAAACATCTACACTTGAAACATCGAGGAATCGTTAGAAACATCCATAATAAAACATATGTAATAAAGAGATCTATATAAAAAAAACATCCACCGACCGATAGAACATCCACATCTAAAACATCCACCGACCGTTAAAACCATCCACCGACCGTTAAAACATCCACCGACCGTTAAAACATCCACCGACCTAGCTTCTGATTTGGATTACCAGAAGCTGGGGCGACTCTAAATTTTGTTACCCAGTGAAAATATACAGGCGCGGCAGTTTCTGATATGGATTACCAGAAGCTGGGGCGACTCTAAATTTTGTTACCCAGTGAAAATTTACAGACGCGGCAACTTCTGATTTGGATTACCAGAAGCTGGGGCGACTCTAAATTTTGTTAGGGAACTTCACAATCATCGCAATGAAGAGAACACGTTTTGCAATGCAATAATTATTTCCATGATAAATTACATTCATATTTTAAAACAAATGTTATATGTTTGATCTCATAGTAGTAGATGAATAAGTTATATATATGATCTCATAGTAATAGATGAATATGTTGAATGTATGATCTCATAGTAGTAGATGAATATGTTATATGTATGCTCTCATAGTAATAGGTTACAATGAATTAGGCCATGAAATTAGTATCCTGATTTTAATTGATACAACGCAATGATTAAAATTATTTCAGATGATATTTCAATTTATTTTGTACTAAATGCAACAGTATATCTATGAGGAGGGGGAATGAGGGTGCGGAATGAGAAACAACAAGAGTAACAACAAGAGTAACAACAAGGGTAACAACAAGGGCAACAACGATGGTAACAACAAAGGTAACAACAAGAGTAACAACAAAGGTAACCACAAAGGTAACAACAAAGGTAACAACAAAGGTAACAACAAAGGTAACAACAAAGGTAACAACAAAGGTAACAACAAAGGTAACAACAAAGGAAACAACAAAGGTTTGGTACGTTGAACGGGCTGTCATAAACAGCAGAAACAATTGATCATTAAAATTTTGGTACTTTGGACGGGCTGTCACAAACACCAGAAATAATTGATCATTGAAATTTTGATACGTTGGACGGGCTGTCACAAACACCAGAAATAATTGATCATTAAAATTTTGATACGTTGGACGGGCTGTCATAAACACCAGAAATAATTTAGCTTTAAAAACAAAGCCTGACAACGAGCGAGACAAACTGACAGCGGCCAGCTTGATTCTTTCCTGTACATATTTCTGCACGTGAGAATTCTGTCTAAAACAGGAGACAGAAAAAATACTGCATAAAACATGAGCGTAATGTCGAGAAAACTCTATAAAACACGAGCTTGATGTTAAAAAACTGGATTCAACGAGAGTTGAACGTTGTGCAAAAAGAGTTTACAGCAAGAACCCGATGACATCAAACATGAACTTGGTTTAAAGGAAATAAGTTTGTGAGTCTGAAGCTGAAAAAATATTCTATGAAACACGAGACTGAATAAAAAATAAACAACCACTGACTGAATAAAAATCTAGCCTTAGAAAATACTACATAAAAACTCCAGCCTTAGAAACTACTGCATAAAAAACCCCAGCCTTAGAAAATACTGCATAAAACACCAGCCTTAGAAAATACTACATAAAACATTAGCCTTAGAAAATACTGTACAAAACACCAGCCTTAGAAAATACTACATAAAACATTAGCCTTAGAAAATACTGTACAAAACACTAGCCTTATAAAATACTATACAAAACACTAGCCTTATAAAATACTGTACAAAACACTAGCCTTAGAAAATACTGTACAAAACACTAGCCT